AAAATTATTTAATGGAAAAATAATAATAATTTAATATTCAGTTATAAATAATTTTTAACTGAATATCTCATACTCAATATATGTGATAAACGCTTTAAAACATACAATAATGAAATTAAAAATATTTCAAAGTATAATAATATAAATATATAAATCGTTTAAATTCATAAAAAAAAGATATTACTATTTAATAAGAAAGTGAAAAGGAATGATGAAGAATAAAAATTAGCATTGTTTGGTAAGTAGCTATAAGCAAATCAATATTAAGAAAGGATAAGAAGAAAGAATAAGTCAAAAATAAGGTTATTTTTCATTCATTTTTAATTCTCAATTTTTGTATTAAATTTTGTATCAAATAATTATGAGATATTAATTACGACAAATTTTTAAATTAAGTTTCTGATAATTAGTTTCTGAGTATATAAGCATTCAAAAAAGTTAAAATTCATTGTATTAACCTATATGTTTTGATATATAAACTTTTACATTATTTCAGTAATTTAAAAAATGGTTCCTAGAAATTTTTCCAACTGTTAATAATATGAATTTATATTTTTAATTTACAATGATTGATTCAATATAATGAATATTAAAAAAACATTAATTTTATAATGTTTTTTTATTTTTTTTTATTTTGATTTCTGAAAATAATAATGGATACATTAAAATACATTAGCATTAAAATAATTATTATTTTATGAAACATAAATAAAACATAAATATTACTTTACATTTCGAGAGTTAAATTTATTATTAATTATTTAAATTATTAATTTTTAACATTTTTATAAATATTAGATCATAATTTGGGAAAAAATTTATTGATATATCGTTTACTATATTGTGAATTTTAAAAATCTGAAAAATTTGAAAAAGTTCAAATTCATTGTTAATAGTTGCAAATCTTCAAAAACAATTTTTAAAATTAACGAAATAACATAAAAATCTATATATCGAAACATAGATTGCTTTTGATTGTTTTGATCATTCATATCCTGAAAGTTTATTTTAATTGTTTAATTTAAAAATTTAATCAATGTTTCATCATAATAAATAACATATTAGACATTTGACCCAAAATTTAATTATACAAAAATCAAATATGAACGATTTATATTTTTTTCAATATCTGAAATCGATTTTTCAAAAATATAAATATCTTATATATCTTAATTATTGAATTAAACTGTATGGATATGTTTAAGTTATCCACAAATAATGTAAAATATTATATATAATTTAAAAAAAAAATATTTTATGATGAAGATTAATTCCATAATTATAACTGAAATATCAAAAGTTTATTGATGAGTTTGAGAAAATTTAGATAAAAGTGCATCTTTTTATAACTCACTTTCTTTCCTTGTGATAATTGATAGCCCGTGCCATGAGAATCGCTACCATCGGCCGCAATGCTTTTCCCTTACCATCGAAGTAATACGTCGCTATAGTTTGTAGCTCTTTATATATCGTGTTCCTGATGAGTTCCTAAAACAATAATAAACATAACTTTGACTTTGGAAAAAAGAATTTTTTCCTGACTTTAGAAAACCAATTACAGTTTCTGTTTGTTTCTTTATCTCCGATCTATTTATTTTAGTAATTGTTACATGTTCTCTTTAATAATATTCAGATTTGCATTTTATTGCAAATAAATATGGAAAATAATTTTAATATATAATAATATATATAATAATGTATATTAATATATAATAATGTAATATAAAATAATAAATTATTTGAACTGATTTTTATCTTATTTGTATCTTTATTTATATTTTTATTTTAGAAATAGAATTTTGGAGTTTAATAAAAAATTCAAGAAAAATTTGAAATACAAATGAATTTTGAATTAATATTTAATATTCGAATTATTCATTTAAATAATAAGTTAAGTTCTTGAGATAAAATTTTTTAAGGATGTTTTAAAGAAATTTTCTTAAAAATCATTTCAAAATTATTTTCTAAATTTATTAAAAAATAATTTATTTGTCAATTTATTATTTATTATTCTTATTTTTTAATTTTTATATAGATTATAAATTTTTATATAAAA